CACATTAATATATACATGATACACTACAAGCTAAGTAAAAAAAGTACTTTTGTGTATTATGTATACATCTTAGTAACCGTGAAAATACAAATTGATTATTTCGGGATGGAAAGAGTATAATTTGATTGACTCGATATGATATTTATTTAAAGAAGTAAAACTATACAAACTATGACAGTCAGAACAGAGGTGTGTATATATACCAGATAAGGCAACCATATCTTTGGCTGATAAACCATGAGACTGAAACCGAGAGATGAGACTGCTAAGGCTAGAGCTCGGGGGTGGGATTCCGTTGTTGGCAGCAGTCTGGCTTGCTGTCTTGGAATCGCGACGTCCTAGCTTGACATTCCAGTTAGGACCACCAAGCTGCAATAGATAGTAACAAGAACATCCAATTAGTTACATAGCTTTAATTATTGTTACAAATGTACGAAAACTCGATTGCCTAGCGATTATTAAAGGATATAGGAGCTTACAAGAGCGACAGAGTCACGGGAAGTAATGGCAAGGATATCAGCACAAGATACAACTCCGGGACAGACCTCCTCAACTTTGGACTTGATTTCATCAATCACATTGAATCCTCTTGCTGAGTTCAAATTTGGAGCTGCTGATTTCTCTCCTTTGAAAGACGAGGTATCATCCAATAGAATTGAGCCATCACACCCCTGAAATGTTCAACAAATCATGATTATTATGTAAACATTCTCTAGAATATATTGATATGTACTCCGTAGTAGCTGTATTATGAAAACTTACGTTCTAAATTTTAATTTCGTAATAATGTAAGTAGAACAACACTAAACTCGGCTCCTAACCTTGAGGCTGGAAGGTTATTAGTGTTACAGCTTTTTTAATAGAAAGAGGGAATGAAGGAAATATATGCATAACATTAATTTATAATTTTGTACGAGTACATGTTTTTTTTGTTTTTTAAACCATAACAATTAAATTCGAGGAAAAGGATGTTTAGAGTTACGAAATAATATAAAAAAAAAAAAAAAAAAAAAAAGGCAGAGTTAATTTACATTGACAAAGCAATCATGGAAGAAAAGTCGGAGAAGAGAGGCGCCCATGCGAGGTTCCTTAGACACGGCAGATTTAACAACGGAGCGGACGGTCCCAAAGAGCTTAGGACATGACTTAGAGTAGAAATTGGGAGAGAGCTGAGCAGAGGAAGTGCCTATGAAGAGCACAAGAAAGGATAAACAGACTATTGTAATCAAATTGGAAGTTGAACTACTTGAAGAGGCCATTTCTTACGTCTAGTTAGTTATTTTGCTAGAAAAGAAGGTAAGATGAGCTAGTACAACAAAATAGAGTAGATAAGGTGGGTGTATTTATAGAGACGAAAATACTAGGATCTTAGAATTATGCCACTTTGGACCACCTGGTTTTACCTACTGCTGTGCATGTTCATTGAAAGTTCCATGCATGAAATTATCTACTATGACTGCTCATGACGGCCTACCTCCATTCAGCCATTTTTATCATAAGTTTTGATTATTACATTCAATTAAACACTAAATTAAAGAGATGTTAATTATGAATTTGGTACCCCGTATTTAATTTACTCGAGCAATTGTGTGACCAAAAAGTAACAAGTTTACTTCCTAGATAACTTCACAATGTACTACCGGTCATGTACATGGACTCTTGGAGGACACATCTAATTCTTTGAGTCATTCATTTAACGACCAAGTTTTCAGTTTAATTACTACCGTACATATTGAAATGTTATTGGCTCATAGTCTTGATCGAATACATAAGATTACATTAAGTAATTAGCTAGTTAAGGTAAGATTATATAAATTCGGCTCTATAAATATTGATTAAAATTTATTGCATACAATATATCAATCATGATTACTCCGTATTACGTAGTAAGCAATTTCAAAGAAATGGGGTCCACTAACAAAGCCTTGATATGCAAATTTGTTGAGGCTGCGCTGCTTTAGATCATTAGTGATAAAGTTGTCGTAACAAAAATTATTTGACTCTCTAAAAACATGCATGTTTGATCACCAATTGACTTTGTCTTATGTTGTATGATTAGCCTTTTATCTTATCTTTAAATTTTACTGTACAATTTTACTTTTTAGTTACGTATTAGAGAATTTAATGTTTGACATTCTACTTGAATCAATATGATTAAATTAGTTAGAGAATATATAGCAGCCGACCAATTATATCTTTGCATTTGTAGCAAAAAAGAAGATTAAGCAGACCAACAACCGGACAATATCTTCGTTAAAATAATTGTTCTTTTGAAGAATAACTCTAAATTTTTGAAATTTTGAATGTATAAAAATTAAAAGGGGTTCAAAATTTTAAAGTAAAAGTCCGATCCCCTCATAATTGGCATTCCTTGTTTGCCTTCTTCAATGAAGATGGAAAGCTAAAGATAATTTTTCATTATTTCCATTTTAATCTTTATTATGACCCGTGATTAATTACTAATGTTCGATTGAGTATATTCTTAAGAGTCTCATCAACCCCTCCTGATCAAGGAACTGACTTGATTATGCGAGCCATTTTTTTTTAATAATTATATATAACCTTCTTATTATTTATATAAATTTGCTTCAATTTCGGCAATTTCGGTGTCACGTGTTTTTCCAAAAATAAAAAATAATACTACGTGTATGTATTGTGATGATTTTTAATTTGAAGATAATAATATATAATGTATGTGTTACACTCTGATGTAAGCAGATAAAATTTAATTGTAGAACCAATTTGTAATTTATTAAGTCCACATGATTTATGAGGAAGTAATTAGCACTCCTCAAGACTTGAACTATATGCGAGTTATTCTTTTCATACTAGTTATAAATTAATTGTAGTAATATTTTAAATTCAAACATACAATTCAAGTGATTATGTCCTCGTCCAAACCTAATGGTTGACTATACTATCTTAAGTGGATAATTGGTGCTTAGCACCCATAGTTTAATTAAATCCTATCAATTTAATTCTTATCCTCCAACGTCTAGCATCTAATAATTGGTGCACCAATCTACATCTAACTTGTTTGAAAATTCTGCTACAAAAGACTGTTACTAGCTCATCAATTTGTTCTTTACAATTATATAAACCATCAAGCTAAGCTAGGTGCCTAATAACACATACATAATACTGGTACACATTTAGTCCAATTACAGGATACACTAATCAATTTAAATACATTTTTTATTGTTTGAGAGAGTCGTCAATGATAGAGTATAAAACATATTCTGGACCTCAACCAACCATGAGCTTAAACTTTTAGTTGAATTGGTCCTTCAACATGGTATTAAGAGACAGCGTGACAGAATGGTCACGAGTTAAGCTCATGGTATGAGGAGGGCCTACGCTACATCCACACTTCAAACCTAACGGTCTCTCATGTGAAGGGGCGTGATAGAGAATAAAACATATTCCTGAAACTCAATCATGAGCTTAAACTTTTGGTTGAGTTAGTTGGTGGTCAATAAATTTATAAAGTCTAATACCGTTATATATAACACACACACTTAGCTTGTACTTCACCATACAACATCGTAACACTTAACGGTGAAATTTCGAATTTATTATTCTAGTGATCAAACTGAAAATAGCAAACTTAGTACTTTGTTAGCTAATGTTAATTCAAACATTATGTGCCATGCAATGATGCATGCATGCGGAGCAATAAGAAGGACATTGAATTAGTATGATGGGAATAGTCGACGAATTGAAGGGTTAGGCGTGGAATGTAATAGAAATAAGATGATAGTCAAAAAGTTAATGCAACTTTATAATGTACGACAGTTGGCAGCAGCTAAGTTCCAAGCTAAACAATGCAAAAAAAGGTTGCAAATATGTAGTGCAGCATACAATGCTTGAATAGAGAATAGTATTTCATGTCGTCTTAATTATCATATGCTTCAACAATTTGCATATAATAGAATATTATTAGTTTTATTACTAGTATTATTATCATTATTAGCCAAGAACACGTGAGAATGAATTCATCTAGTCTAACACGATTATATATTTATATGTACTATGGGTTCAATATAAAGATTTCAATTCAAATATAAGCGCAGACAATACTTGAAAGCTAATAAGGGATTTTGAATAGATATTGTCGTTTATTTATGGGTTATTTTTTTTAATCGTGGAAGAGACAGACGATGAAGGAGATAACAAATAAAGTTAAGGTTCCGTGACTCATTAAGGGCATATGCACAATTCAAACATAAACAACAAATCATTATATCTAATGGAATACTATATACGAAGTACTATTTATTAGACTTTTAATAGTAAGAATTAGGTCGATTAATTTCCTTTTCTTGCCTTTTAAACATAAGGGGAGGCTTAGCTTGTTTGAAGGGATAGTTGACAATTACTGATTTTTTTTTTTTTTAATATAATTTAAGGAATGGATACGTGGTTTATGGTAGGATCTATATTACATTAAGACAAAATTTGATGTTAGATTGCTACACACTAAAAATTTACTCATATGCTACTCAAAAAAGGTAGGTGGCAAAAAGAATTTCAAAGCTTACATTACTTGTAAGAATTTCACAAGTAATGAATTTGGTAGTAGTTCCAAACCATTTACTTGTATTACATCTTATATTCTACTCCATAGATGTATTAACAGAACTGTTATAATAATTGAGATTAGGATCGTCTTCCTTGAAAAATCTTAATCAAAACTTAATTACTCCATACTCGTAAAATCGTACTACCACTACTTCATAATCATAATATTTTCCTTAACTTATCCAACACTAATCTGAATTTATTTCTATTAGAAGCCAATAACAATTTTGTCCCTAAAATTAGAGGAAGCCCCAGTTAATCAATTTGATAAACAAAATTTGTTTATCAAATGGCAAAATGGTAAATAAAACAACATAAATGCCCAGTCATCATGGCATTTTCATAAATATATCAGTGGGACCCATATTTACTAAAAAATTGTTGATTTATTTACAATTTTGCCATTTGATAAATGTTGATAAACTTGGATTTTCTCCTAAAATTATTGAATCTAGGCATCCCAAATAATGAATTCATAGTCAATGACTCAATGCAACATTATTACCAGCCCAATGAAACAAAGGGCCCAAAATTTATGGACTTACCAAATAATGAATTCATAATCCATTAAACAGAAAAATAGTTCGTAAAAATTAAAAAATTCTTCACACAACAACAAGTTTCTCTCACGGCGGAGAAAAACTAATCAAAATTTTCCGATGTCAATACCACCACGAAATCCGCCGATAACATCCGACTACACAACCGCCATTGACGGCGGCGCCACCGGTCTCGAAGCTTCCTTGCTGAACTTACTTCATCAACACCAAACCTCCGCCTCTTCCCTCCGCCATCAAACTGGTCTCTTTCTCTCTCCTCCATTTTTTCAAATCAGTTTCTGAAATTAGTCGCAGAAATCATGTAATTTGAATCGATTAGTATTTTGTTGATTAGAGAAAGCGAAGAAGGAAGCGACGAAAGCAGGTGTTCGAGTATCAGAGCTTTTGGTTGATGCTGTTAATGGCGGAGTTCAAGAATCGTTCCTCCATCAAAAGCAAATCGAGCTCGAAATTCGAGCTTTAACTACAACGGTTAATCGTTTTCAGAAGCAGACTCATCAATGGCTTGCTGCTTCTCGATCTCTTAATACTGCAATTAAGGTCTGATTATTCTTCAAATTATAACCTTAAATTATAAATTTATTTCTTATTTTGGTTGATTTTGTTGTGTTTGTAGGAAATTGGTGACTTTGAGAATTGGATTAAGGTGATGGAATATGATTGTAAAAGTATTGCCACTGCTATTCGCAACATTCATCAAGCTTGAAGGCTTTGACTATGATTTATTCTTTTTGTAATTATTAATTTGTCAAGCGGTTGAATTTTTAAGTTACGAGTAGGTCTTGTATACGACAGGTGTATTGTATACAACCGATTGTTCATTGAATGTGTATTGCATTGAATAATATTAACTATAAATGCGACTTAAGATTTGTTTTGGACAAATTTAGATAATACGGAGTACTAATATTTCAGCCAACTTTTCCAAAATTACATTGTAACACTTTGGTACAAGGATTAAGGAGTACATGCTTGCAAATTATTTCAATGCTAAAAGTTTACAGCGACCATCTTCGAATTTTCATACACGATTAGTATAGTATCGAAGAGTACAGAGTGATCGGCGATCAAATCAGCCTTACGGCTTAGTTGGTTTTCCAGCAATTGGTTCTAATCTCTCCCGTTGTGCCGGTCAGGGGACTCAGGTTTCCCATTTTTACCATAGCCCTTGCAAAATCCCTATAAAAGGAAGATGGGTTTTTGGTATAAGAAGTGACCTGCGAATCAGTGGATCCGTTGTTGAACAGTTGTTGATCCGAGTGCATCAGACCTTTATTGTTCACCAGATCTTTGAAATACCCATTGTCAAACTCGACAGGAGTATTAGAATCGAGGGGGGTAAGATTGTCGTCTCCCCCGGTGTTTGGGCAGTTGGATTTCACTGAACTAACAAATGATGCATCGATGTTACTCTCGTTGTAAACTCTATTACGGAATACTACACATCTGGCTTGCCCTATTGTATGTGCTCCTGCAAGATGATACAATTTTCATTTTCCATTCAGATACAAAGCTACTATAGCGCGTCTGATGGTCAGTGTTGAGCGCTTAACATACATTTAATCACGATACTCTCATCAATTAAGGAAAGCCAGAAGGATCACTCACCTGCTAGAGCCACCATTTCTTTGGCTGTCAATCCTTTCTTTGAAAAGGAAGGTAGAAGGCCACTGAGGTCCATATTTGGGGATGGAATGTCAGCATTTGCAGTGCTTAAACTTGCTGTAGTAGAGTCTCGCCTGCCCAGCAGCACGTTCCAATATGGACCACCCAACTGCAGATGATAAAACACAAACAGCTCAGTCTGATGACAAAAGCTAGCTGATATAAAGCTCTTAGTTTCTGTGTGCATTGAAATAAAGCATTAAGTTTAACACTGCCTCATATCTTGGTTCATGAAATTTGTGCCGAGTATAATGTGTAAGCAAAGGAAATTCTTGGGTGCACCTTATGCAAAATATATTTAAATTCTACTTACTACAGAAACTGAATCTCTTGCAGCTACAGCTAGAATATCAGCACAAGAAACTACACCAGGGCAAACACTCTCGACTTGAGACTTAATACTGTCAATCGTAGTAAATCCCCTCAGAGATCCTGCATTGGCACCTGCAGTTTGCTCCCCTGTGAACGTTGAGGTGTCATTTAGAAGAACAGATGCATCACATCCCTACACAAGCATAAAGCATATAAAATTAAGTCAGTTATTAGCCATTAATACACTTTCATGCACATTTTTAAGGCTTTTTGGGGGCAGAAAGAGGGAGCGTCAACATGCATTAACAAAGCAGTCGTGGAAGTGAAGACGAAGCAAAGATGCCCCCATACGATGTTCTGCAGCTACTGCTTTATGAACTGCAGATTTGATGGTGGAGAGAGCTTTTGGGCATGTCTTCGCATAATAATTGGCTGAAAGCTGTGCTTGGACAGTCCCTAATAGAAACAAACTCAGCAAGATTCTAAGCTTTGTCATATTAATAGAAGTAACCATTGCAATCAAAGAGAGGAGAGAGCAATGTATAGAACTTGTTTCTCTGTTATAAGATATCCTCAAGTCTGGCTTCCTACTTATAGGATTATTTGGTTTCACGGATATTTAGTATTTTATTCACCTTTCACTCAACATCCGTGGTCAATAAATACAGAGTTCAACTGAACAAAACCGGCGAACATGAAAAGTTAGATGACACAATTATCTTTATTGATTAATGCTCAGTGTTTGACATTATGGTTAGATTAGACACTCAGATTACACTATTATTTCTATAGAGAAATGCTTAGTGTTTGACATTATGCTTAGATTAGACACTTAGTGGTGTGTGAACGTTGTTGGCGTGGGGAATCTGGTTAAGTTTGTCAACAGTGGCAAAGGTCAGAGCCTCAGAGCTCCTTTTTGCAAATCCCCCTAACTTCAGAACATTCTCTGTATGTTTACCAAGGACCGTATGCTGTGGGAGTTCTATGGTGAATCAAGTTCCTTCCCAAAACAGCTAGTTCTCTTATCATTATTGTGAACAGAGAACATGAGATCTTCAGTCAAAAGACCACTTGAGTAAAGCTCATCAATTTATAGCTGCGAGGTTGTTTAGAGCGCAACAGAGATGGATTGCGGGTTTGTCAGAGTCCTGCAGCATCGAAATAACACAGCAGATCACATGTTAATCAAGAGAAGCTCAGAAATCTACCGAAAACATCCATATGAACCTTTGCAAAATTTAATTACAAGTATATTAATAGAATTGGCTCTATGTACTATGGCAAAGCATTGAAAAAAGACTACCTCCCAATCTAATTAATTTTGTTAACAGAACAAAATTAAAATACATAGTGTAGATTTCCCTTTTCATTTACTCTGTAACTGAAGATCATAATTGTAATCAGAAACCAAAATTTCTCATTAATCAAGGGTGATTCCATCAATAGCAAAAAATATTTACCATACAAAAAAAATACTAGGACGCTTCAAAATGCTCCCCAATACCAAGAGAGGAGGAAAAAAGAAAAAAGAGAGAGAGATACAAACTTAGGTATCCATCTCTTTTGAGATATAAGCCGTACTAGAAACATAAAACAAAGCAAAATCAAACTATTTTGTTGATAACCCTATACGAGTATTCACTAATAGACATTCCTCATTCCTCTGCACTAAACTATAACGTAACTTTTCGTCTTCAAAAGACAAATTCCTCAGCTTCAGCACTAGAACTAGGTAGTCTGTCCTCCATCTCTCTCAGAGAAGCTGCTGCAGAGTCACTGATTCCTAGCAGATACTGTAGACGCGAGATCTTCTCAGGTGCTGCATTGTTCTTGGCATAAATAGCAAAAAGATCTGCTAGTTCCTCTGGCACTTCCCATGACAAGGGCTCAGCTGTCACAGCCTTGTCACAAGCTAGCAGATCATTAAGAGTGGAGATCTGCAAAATTGAGAGGCAAAATATCAGACTAAAAGAACCCACACATAAAAGACAACAAAGAAAATGAAAGTGCGCAGCTGTCATCAGAAGCATACCACCCCGGTGCGGTTTCTCTGTCTTAGTAAAGCTACTGCTTGAACCAATGAGTTAGCTAATCTACTACGAGCAAGTTCGTGGACAACTCCTTTAGCCTTCTCTGGGTTAATTTTCAAGTCAGCGGGAATCTTTTCATAGACTTCCTCATCATCAAATTCTCCAGTACCAGAAGAAAATATCTCATCCACAGACTTCTTGAAGAGATTCTCCCGTAAACTCACTGCTATCATGTTATCAATATTTACACCAGCTTCCTTGAGTTCTCTTATTTGTTTTATGCTGAGCCTTCCTTGGCCAATAGCTGTTTCTATGGCAGCAGCCATTTTTGAATTTATAATGTTCTCTCTCACCTTTTGAGCATACTCTGGTGGCAAGCCAACTTGCTTCTGAACCTCATCCAGTTGCTCCATCCTAGCCTTAGTCAACTGTCCATCAGCCAGAATGACCTCTGCTTGCTGTCTAAAAGCTTGCTCGGCCATACCTCTATGAACCTCTACAATCTCCTTACGTGTAAGACCAAGAATATCACCAAGCTGATTCAGATAGAGGTATTCTGTGTTGTCCTTCTTCGTGGTGATTTGTGCACCAAATGGAATCTTGGTTACTTCACCAGTTATGCAGTATAACAAGTATGTCTTGTACAGGTCAGCCCTCTCCCTCTCTGGAAGGTCATCTTTAACAGTAATCTCTGTCTGCCCAGGTTTCCCAATTTTGGCCTCAAGTTCCTTAGTAGGTCTTGATTTTCTTAATGTCTGGAGTGATTCCCATTCTTCCTCATCTTCAATCTTCTCCTCTTCCTCTTTAACTGGTTCTTCTGTCGGAACATCAGTTGATTCCCCTTTAATATCAGCAACTAATTCAGTGACCACCAAGGTGTTGAATGCGATCATCTTCTTAAGTATTTTTGCCGATTCAGTGCGACTTCCAGCTGCCCTTGCCTGTTTAATATAGTTAATGAATATTCTGCGGACCTGCATGACATAAGATAAGGATATATGAATTAGTGAACCATCAGGTGTTATGATCTCTCCTTCATAACACAAGTCAGGTTGGGATCCCAAAATGAAGGCCTATCTGAACCTTGGCTATTTAGTGGAAGAAAGCTCTTGAGATTGCCTTAAATAAATTAATAAATGATAAAAATGATTCAGCAGGGAAAGAGGACACTCACCGCCTTACTAGCAATTGACATTGCAGCTTCCCTAGTCAAGCGCAAACCATGTGCGGCTTTCCTCACATTTTCTTTTACATCTGCATCATATCCGTCAACTCCGGAAGCAATTGCATCCTTCACAACCTGAAATCAAGAGAACACTTCAACTTGACGCAACGTGTAACCAATACCAAAACACAAGTAGAACAGGACAAAATGCATTTTGCTGGCTGCAAATCACACAAACACTACAGCAATAACCCCAGTAACCAAAAGAAACTTCTCAAATTTCAAATAGTAAAATTTCAAAAGCTCAAGAACCCAGACAGACAAAATTATCAACCTCCATAAAGCATCTATACACAGCCTGAGGAGGTGGGAAATTGACCAAATATACAAAGATAACATCCCTCCGCGAGGAAGGAGGGGAATGGGGTAGTTGGAAGGAGGCTCAAATATCACACAGTTACAAGTTAGCCAATGCTCAAATCTCTATGCTTCATCAACAAGGTTTTCATCAGAACAGTACAATCTAATAAAATACAAATACAACAATGCAATATAGCATATAATCAAAGTGGAGGATAGGAAAAACAGATGAGATCCAAAGAGGAAGAGGGAGAAGACTTCAAATTCTTACCTTCTCAAACAAACTGCCACAAATATCAGCATGAGCAGCTTCAACAATTTTTTGGGGAACACACAGCATGACCCGTACGCGTAGTAAAGCTTTGACATCCTCCTCACTCAACTCTCCATCAGCTAAGCATTGCTGTAGCTTCTGTCGATATATTTCTATAAGAAAAGACAAATAACAAACAGTACACAAGAGCAGGTAAGCGAGCTATAGATTCACAGAGGAATAAAAAAAATATATAATGCAGATCCAAATATTGACAAAGTTTAAGCAACCTTTCCCCCATTCAGTTATACACAAGAATTTCCCAAAATCAAATAACACAAAATACAAAAGGTGCATTCTCTTGTTGCATTGTCTATCTAGAAAGTAAATCAACAACTCTGCAAAATGATTCAACCTAAAAAAAGGTTCTCACTTAATTGCTCCTTCAGACTAAAAAGTTACAACCCCTCAGGGAGAAAATTTACTCATTCAGCAACAAGCACCATAATCTGCCAACCAAGTAAAAGGGAACAGTACCTGCATGGATCTCACTCGCCTTCTCAGGGTCAAACCGCAGCTGGTCACACAAATTCTGAAGGTAATTCGCTTTGCTTTCAGCTGCATCCAAATCACCACTAGAAAACGCTTGAGACAGTAGCTTGCGATAAACCTTCGAGGTCACATCCATCATAATACTTTCTGCTTCACGTTTTCCAAGACCAAATATGTTCTTTAACTGGTTCAATGCAGCAAGCTACAAATGGAAAAGAGAATATAAGTGAAGACTAGCATATTATATTATTGTATGTAGCTAGACAGCATAAGATCTATGGAAGGTCTGGTAATTTATCTTCGCTATATCATACATTCATAGACTCATAATAATGTATCTGTCTCAACATCAAGAATGAATCACCCCAGCCAAAAAGGCAGAACAGCTATAAATGTTCACCTTCAACTTTAAGTAGAGGCCACCGAAGGACAATGGCTTAAAGAGTTAAAGAGAATCACTAATAAATTTTAAAAAAAATAAATAAGTAAAATAATAAATTATCACCTTGCTGTCTTCCATGCGGCCACTAGATAAAGAATCAGTAATATATGCTCTGTAGAGAAGCTTCAAGTCATCAATCCTCCTGTCACTGTCAAACTCACCATCTGACAAATTATACAGAATGCTGTATTATACTAGTGTACCAGTTATCTCATGAAAAGAAAATTTTTTATAAACACAAGAACCACCACAAAAAAGGGCATCAGTATTATTACCTACTAAGGAAATTGGCCCGATGCCTCGGGCAAAATTACCAGCATCTGGATGGTTTCTTAATGAGATAAGCTTATCATTAAAAGCAAGTACTCTATTCAGCTCATTTACAACCTCAATAGCTCCCCTGTCAAACATAGGTGTCAAAGAAAAATATGCGTGAAAAATTGGCAAACACCTGATTTTTCCCCAAAACTAAAACAATAAAAAGACACATAAGTCTCAACCCAAAGCATAATTATTTTTTTTTTTTTTTTTTTTTCTCTCTCTCAATGCAAAAGCAAATTAACTATATCAGTGAGTTTCTAGAATATGAAGATAGCAACATCAACCATACCCTGCTCTATTACGGGACTTCAGAACGTCAACAGCTCTTGAAATGCATTCTTCTACTAGTTTTCTTGTATGTTCCTTAAACATCTCCTCGGCCAACTGTAAGAAATAGATCCAACAATATTAAAAAAGTATAATCTTTCAACTGAAATTCGCCATCTCTGACACAATTTCACAAAGGAGATACCTCATCAGACAAACGATACGAAAGTTGAGCTTCTTTCAGATCAACAAGCTGCTTCATATCCAGATCTGAAAAACACATAATACGCCACAAGAAAATCACAGGGAAATCATGAAGCAATGCTAATTAATATAATACTCCCTCCGTCCCATAATATAGTTCTTGTTTGTGTTTTTTCACAATATTTAAGAAATAGGAGAAAGTGGATAAAGTACATTAATAAAAGTGAAAAGTACAATCATAGACAAAAGTTAGAGAGAGAAAGGGGGGGAAAAGTAGAAGATATGTGCAAAATTCAAGGGTAAATTAGGAAGAGCAATGAATAAAGTTAAAAAAAGTGAGGGCATAACGGTCTTTATATACTATTCAAAAATAGAAATAGGAATAATATTTTGGTTCTCTAAAATAGGAAAACAGGAACTATATTATGGGACAGAGGGAGTACATTAACAAAAGGCAAGAAATAAGGTAATAAGGTCAATGCCATATCTACTCGACACCAAACTATAATTAAATCAATATGTTTTTTAAATCTATCTTGACAGGAATCAGTTCTCTTACGAAGCAAATACATCACCACAAAGTGTACTCAACGTAGACACTAACCTCTGCTGATTAATTTCAGTCTCTGAGCATACAGCCTTTGAGCATTGTCACGAACAGCAACCTCAACCTGACAGGACAACACAATATGAAATTTTCCTTTAATACCCATAACTACCACCAATTCAAAGATTTCAAGCTAAGAGGCCAAATTCGCCTTTTGTTGCCAAATCTGGCCTTATGGATCCAAAGTATAAATAGGCCTATTAGATGGGGTGAGTATTTCAATAGATGACTAAGGATGGATACAGAGTCACACCAGAGATAGGGTACATTTTCTGCCAGATTTGCTATAGAACAAGATGCTGATATGCAAACATTTACCTGGGAATCAGTCACTTTAAATACACGCTTCCAGGGTAGAAGAAATGCAGAGGCCTCCCCAAAAACAAGAGTTGAAACATACACTAGCTTCTGAAATGCCTGCGCTGAAACTCACTAATATTGGTCAAGCTACATATCTCCATAAGTCCATAGTAGTAGTACCATCTAAAAATAAAAAAATAGCAAGTGGTGGAGCAACATGAACATAAAAATCTTACCCGACGCTGCTCAATGTCACCCTCACGATCCCCAGTTTCAAGCCTCTGTCTGACAAACCGCCTGGCAAGCTGTAGCCAGAAGAATCACAGTAATGTCCGTAATTGTTGACAATAAGAACGACTACGACAAAATTTGATAAACTAACACCACAATTACCTCAATATGCATGTTAGCAGCATCAGGATCATCGATGCCAAGAGCATTTTTGAACTTAACAATAGTTTCAACTTCAGTACCCTTGAGATCTTCATTTCCAGCAGGAAGCACCGACAAAAGAAAGCTATACAACCAATTGAATACAAACTCAAGAATGAGGGAAATAACATCTTTGCACAAACTATAGTGGAAATAGAAGCAACTATTCAAGATATGCAGGATTCATTTGTGGTACTCCATACTAGATAATTTGTTTGTCTTGTCACATTGTCACAATTGATCACATTTACAGGTTAAACATGACTTTTCCTAATAGTTATCCATCTTGTTTTTCTCATACATTCAAAATCTCAATATCATTAGAAACCCAAACATAATACAATTACTATTTTAGGCAACGCGACGAATATCAAATCAAACCACAAAGAAACATAATAAAATCACTTAAACCATATTCATTCATATGCCCACAATAGAACAATCATAGTTAAGTTCTAAAACATGGAAGTAAAAACAATTGGACTAATTTGTACTCACCTAAGGTACAAGTCACACAGCTCAGCATTAAAAGATTCATCTTGCTTGCTAACACCATACCTGAAAACACAAATTCACAACATCACTTCAAAAATCTTCATTTCTCAACAAAAAACAACAACAAAATAAAAATTCCAAATTGTAACATAATACAATAATTATTACTTATTAGCAATAGCCAGGATTTCATCCTTGCTCAAAGAAAGCGAGTCATCACATTGCGCAACATAATTATGCAAATTGATAGCAGCAACCTCAGGAACACAAGAATTCAAACTATAAGCGGCGGCGCCACCGGCAGCACCAAGAGCAACCGCAGCACCGATTGCCACATTCCTCGAACCCCCAATTTTAGACCCTAACCCAAAACCGGCAGCAGAAGCAGCCGCAACAAGCAGAACCGAGCTGGCTATTCTCACCGGCGGTGACAAACTGTCAGCCAATGATTGCATACCCGACAACTCTCTCGGACCCCCGAACACCTCAGAGCTCTTGATACCGCTACCGGGTTCGGGTCCGGGTGCGGATGTGGGTGTTTGGTCAGAAGCAGAGCATCTGAGCTTAGAGAGGCGAAAACGGGTGAGTGGTATACGGATGAAATTGGGGGAAGGAGAGAAGGGGTTTGATTAAGGGGAGTAAAAGATGAGAAGAGAAGAGGGGATTTGGATGAAGAAAGAGGAAGTGTGGTGTTCATGGTTTTTGGGGTTGTTCTTTCCTGTGTTTTCTCTCTCCTAAATTGAGTAGATTTTGTGGGGTTTTAATGGAGGGTTTTAGGGAAGAAGAAAAACCCAGAAAAATGGTGGGAGTAGTTGCAGTGGAGATGAAGATGATAATGGAGTGAGAGGAGAGAGAAGAAGAGGAAAGGGGAAAGAGAGAGAGAGAAAGGGTTCGTTTCGTGCTGGTTTTGTTTTTGATTAGGAGAGAGATTGGGAATGGTGAGTGGATGGATAGGGAGATTGGATTAAGCCCACTTTGCTACCTTTCGGGCTTGGATCGTTCTTCTAGTGTAGCTCGTCTGAGTTATAGATTTTGAATTTGATAAATGCCCTTTGAAACAGTGGTAGCAATGTCACTTGGACTTAGATCTGCCTTTGTGTCACAAACCGAGTGTTTAGACTAGGGGTGTTTGAGGTAAAAATACCCTAAACACGTGGCCCAATGGCCTAGTGACACGTGGCATCCAGCCGTTGGTCAGCAGGGCTCCAATCCTCTGCTGACACGTGTCCTCTAAACCCTAAAAGGGAAACCATCCCTTCCCCACTATAAATAGTGGAAGGACCCTCATTAATGAGTGGCTGGAACATTGGTTATTCACATTGAATACTCCTCAAAAAGAAAAACACTTACCCCGAGCAATATTAATTGCAGAATTCTCCCATTACGCGAGAAGTAACTTCTACATTACGTGCATTCTACCTCCCGTATCTATACTAACTTGATCGTCGGAGGCGGAGCTCCTACCCCCAGGAGTCTTCGTGATTTTGCAGGCACAGGCGTCGAAGGGCATTCTTGGAATTGTAACTCTCCCGCAGGACACATCAAAAAACCCCAAAACATTTGGCGCCGTCTGTGGGGAGAGTACTTCTAAGATGACTTCTGATACTGTGTCACCGAATCAGGGCAAACGGCCTGTGGTCGAGCCTGAGGTCCAGACGGACCATAAAAGTGGCGACGAAATTGAAACATATGTGGCCCCGGATGGGTCTTTCAGAACGAAGCACCTCGTGCTAAAGATAGAAGAGAACGGGAAATCAGCCAAGCTGCTCCCAGCAACCCAGCCGGGCAACCGGCTGGAATTGCCCAAACGGTGGAGGGCTCAGCCCCCGTTACAAGAAACGAACTCATGTCTTTCATGAATAGTTTCAAGGGTGAGATCAAGAGCCTCATCCGGTCAGCTACTCCAAAGAAGGGTCAGCCGGCCAAGAAGCCTTCTGGAAAGAAGGCGGTCAAAGAACGAGTTCCTACCCCTCATCCCAAGCCAAAGGAGGGGGAGGGCTTAAGGTTTGATCCAAGCAGACTCCGTTTTCCTCAAGGGGAGCTGCGAAAGGCCATCCGGCACGTACAGCCGGATGGCTCCAAGAAAACCTTCTCAGACGCCCGCACATTTCTCCAAGAGAAGCGAGGTCAGGCGTCTGCGTCGGCCTCAACGTCGACCTTCCCGGACAGTTTCCATGACGTCTCACACAGGCGTACGGGAACGAACCTTAGGAGCCAGACGGGCGAAGCTTCTGCCCGGTCTGGACCCAAAGTGATCCAGCCTGGCCTATTCGGCACACCGAATGGGTTGGGTGGATCCCCTTTCATGTCACCGGGTCTTTTCGGTGGGCAAGCGCAGCAGCCGTTCCAACCCACGGACTGGCAGCTGCGCCTGCTAAATTTGGGGGAACAGCCAACGGCGTTCTCACCAGAGATAACCCAGGCGGCACAGCCGCCTAAGATCAAGAATGTTTTGGTGGGGGCCTATGACGGCACCACCAACCCAGAAGACCATCTAATGGCCTACTCTAACCTCATGTACCTCCAGGGGTTAGATGATGCCGTCTGGTGTCGATGCTTCCCGGCTACCCTCAAGGGCATAGCCCAGCGGTGGTTTGGTAACCTACCAGCCGGTTGCATCAACAGCTTTCGAACTTTGGCGTACTTGTTTACGTCAAATTTCTCAATGAATATTCCTGCCAAAAAGACTAGCCTCGACCTAGGGGCAATACAGCAGGGCGACCGGGAGGGCCTCCGGTCGTACGTCAGACGGTTCAATCTGATGAGAATTCAGATTCCAGGACTATCAGACGAAGTGGCCTATACAGACTTCTTTCGAGGTCTGAAGGATGGGTCGACTTTTAAGTTTGACCTCGTCCGGAAGAGGGTTGCTACCCTCCAAGAGGCATTAATTGAAGCTGAAGCCTATATACAGGCGACGGAGCTTTGTGCTGTTAAGCAGCCGTCAGATTCTAAAAAGTCTGATAAAAAAGAGAGCCGGCAACAGCATCAGCCGGCAAGAAAGGAAGAAAAGAGAAAAGGGGTCTGGGCAGCTGACCGATCAGGACAGCCGGCCCAGAAGATCAGGCGGAAGTCAGAACCATATGTCCCCAAATACGAGTTCACAAAAGATTGCTCCACCATCCTCCTGGAAATCAAAGACCGGATGTCTCTCAACAAACCGGCTGAAATGAAAAGCCCCGTGAATAAACGGGACAAGAGCAAGTATTGCCAATACCACGAGGATGTTGGCCACGACACCAATGGCTGCTATAGCCTCAGGCGGCTATTGGACCGTCTTGCAGATGAGGGGGCCCTAAAATCCTACCTACCCAAGGCTAAGGGTAATACCCAGGCCAAGAAAGGGCAGGCGGCAAAAACCGGCCCAACAAACTCCGAGACGGATGAAGAGACCATCTTCACAATAGCAGGCGGTTTTGCCGGAGGGGGTCCTACCATCCGGGGCACCAAAGACAACATCAGGAAGCTGGTCAACTCAGTGGATGAGGGCCAGGCGTCGAAAGACATCTTCCCTGAGGTCCTTATTTCTGAAAAGGACCGGGGCAAGGTCAGGCGGCCTCATGATGACCCCATCGTCATCGAATGCAAGGTTGCCCACCAGAAGGTTGGCCGGATCCTAATAGACACCGGGAGCTCGTCTGACCTAATCAGTTATCAGTGCTTGACCAAGCTCAAGTACACATCCGGTAACATGCACCAGGCTCCTCATCCACTAGTCGGTTTTGGGGGTGGAGTAGTGCATCCGGTCGGAAGCATAGATCTTCCGATCCGGCTGGGTGAAAAGGGGCAAGGCCGCCACATGATAGTCAAGTTTTTAGTTGTGGAGGAGTTGTCCGCCTACAACATGATATTTGGCCGTCCTACCCTCAACGCATCTAAGGCTGTCATCATCCCGTCCCTCATGTTGGTCAAATTTCAAAAGGATGATGGTACAGTCGGTGCCCTAAGCGGGGACCAGAAGACGGCAAGAGAGTGCTATCTCTCTGACGTCAAGACAACTATGGGTGCAGCCGGCCAGGGCGAGCCCATAGATATTGATAACTGCGACCCAGCAGTCCCGGCTCCAAGGGCAGCCGGTATGAAAAGAAAGGCGGACCAACTGGCACCCGTCAAAAAGGAGAAATAGCAATCACTAGCCGGGGAAAGGTCAGATGACCAACGACCACAGCCGGCTGGTGACTGCCTTGATGTCATCCTAGATGACAGCCGTCCTGAAAGAACAGTCAAGGTCGGGACGGTAGCCTTCGAACGGTTGGGAGAAGGCTTGCTCCAGCTGCTGAAGGAATTCAAAGACATCTTTGCCTTTGAAGTGGAAGAGATGTCAGGCGTCAGCCCGGATCTTGCTGTCCACAAGCTAGCCGTAGATCCCAAAAAGCAGCCGGTTAGGCAGAAAAAGAGGGATCATGGTGGAGAAAGATCTCAAGCGGCAGCGGCTGAGGTCAAAAAGCTGTTGGAAGCTGGGTTCATTAGGCAATGCTACTACCCGGATTGGGTGGCAAATGTCGTTCTAGTAAAGAAGACGAACGGTACTTGGCGGATGTGTGTGGATTACACAGATCTGAACAAAGCATGCCCAAAAGATAGCTACCCGCTTCCAAAGATTGACAACCTAGTCGACTCAACAGCCGGCCATGCGTTAATGAGCTTTATGGATGCTTATTCCGGCTTCCATCAAATACCTCTCTGGAAGAAAGATCAGGAGAAGACGGCTTTTGTCACTGATCAGGGGTTATTCTGCTATACGGTGATGCCGTTTGGGTTGAAGAATGCACCGGCTACATTCCAGCGCATGATAAACACCGTTTTTATCAACCAGATTGGCAGGAATGTAGAGGCGTATATCAATGACATGATAGTCAAATCCAAGCTGCAGACGGATCACCTAGCAGACCTGCGAGAAACCTTCACCACACTCAGGCGGCACCGGGTCATGCTTAACCCAAAGAAATGCGTATTTGGTGTTGAGTCTGGGAAGTTTCTCGGATTCTTGATTGACCAAAGAGGCATCGAAGCTAATCCGGAAAAAATACAGGCGGTAATTGACATGAAGTCTCCCCGCACTGTAAAAGAGGTCCAGAAGTTGACCGGTTGTCTGGCGGCATTGGGGAGGTTCCTCAGCCGGTCAGGTGACAAGTGCCTTTATTTCTTTCAGGCAATCAGGAAGAGGTCAAGGTTTGAATGGGGTGAAGAAGCAGAGGCGGCATTCTAGAGGCTTAAGCAGCACTTGCATTCTTTGCCAATGCTAGTGAGCCCCCTACCCCGGGAGGTTCTGTACATGTACCTAGCTGTCTCTGATCACGCCCTTAGTGCCGTTCTCCTCGCTGAGAGAGACGGCATTCAGCTGCCGGTGTACTTCATCATCCATGTCTTAAAAAATGCTGAGCTCCGGTACCCCATGATCGAAAAATTTGGGTTGGCCTTATTCGTAGCAGTCAAGCGGTTGAAGCCTTATTTTTTGGCACATCCGGTTGTGGTATACACAGATCAGCCGCTCAAGCGTACGATGACTGCTATAGAGTCATCCGGTAGAATGATCAAGTGGGTTGTTGAAATACAAGGCCTTGAGATAACTTTTGAACCCAGGCGGGCAGTGAAAGGTCAGGCGTTTGCCGACTTTATTGTCGAGATGACTAGGCCGGTGCACCCGGAAAACCCTGATCAGGTCTGGAAGTTATTTGTAGACGGCAGCTCTACGGTGAACGACTGTGGTGCAGGTGTTATCTGTCATTCCCCGGAAGGGGATAAGTTTGAATATGCACTACGGTTTAAGTTCCAAGCCTCCAACAATGAGGCAGAGTATGAAGCCCTGCTAGCCGGATTGCGCATGTGTAAGGCAGCCGGTGCAAGAAAGGTCGACGCCTGCTCAGATTCACAGCTGATCGTTAGCCAATACCTAGGTGACTACGAAGCCACCCATCCGGCTATGATCAAATATTTGCAGGCGGTCAAAGAGGAGGCTGGGTCCTTCGATGAATTTCATCTGCG